TTGATCGAAAACCTAGATACACATGTGAATACATAAACAAACACCGTGTCCCTAGTGAGCCTCTACTTGACTAGCTCGTTAATCAAAGATGGTTAAGGTTTCCTAACCATGGACATGAGTTGTCATTTGATAACAGGATCACATCATTAGGAGAATAATGTGATGGCCAAGACTCATTCGTTAGCTTAGCATAATGATCGTTCGGTTTTATTTCTATTGTTTTCTTTATGTCAAATACATATTCATTCGACTATGAGATTATGCAACTCCCGGATACCAGAGAAATGTTGTATGTGCTATCAAACTTCATAACGTAACTGGGTGATTATAAAGATGATCTACATGTATCTCCAAAGGTGTTTGTTGAGTTGGCATAGATCGAGATTATGATTTGCCACTTCGAGTATCGAAGAGGTATCTCTGGGCCCTCTCGGTAATACACATCATAAGCTTGCAAGCAAATGACTAAGGAGTTAGTCACGAGGTGATGTATTATGGAACGAGTAAAGAGACTTGCCGGTAACGAGATTGAACTAGGTATGAAAACGATCGAATCTCGGGCAAGCAACATACCGATGGACAAAGGGATTTACGTATGTTGTCATAACGGTTTGACCGATAAAGATCTTCGTAGAATATGTAGGAGCCAATTTGGGCATCCAGGTTCCGCTATTGTTTATTGACTGGAGAGGTGTCTCGATCATGTCTACATAGTTCTCGAACCCGTAGGGTCCGCACGCTTAACGTTCGACGATGATATAGTATTATATGAGTTATGTGATTTGGTGACCGAATATTGTTCGGAGTCCTGGATGAGATCACGGATATGACGAGGAGTCTCGAAATGATCGAGAGGTAAAGATTGATATATAGGCCGATGATATTTGGACACCGGAAGTGTTCCCGAGGGTACCGGATACTTATCGGGTCACCGGAAAGGAGTTTCGAGCACCCCTGGCAAAAATATGGGCTTTATGGGCCAAGTGAGGAAACACACCAGCCATGGTGCGCCCCTATAGAGGCCAGCCCTATGAGGAGGAGAAGGAAAAAGGGGAGGGTAAGGAAAGTGTGGATTAGGATGTCTACTTCCTTCCCTCTCCCCCTTTTTTCCTTCCACCTCAGTTATATATGGTGGGGGGATGGGTTGGGAGGGACTCCAAGTAGGATTCGTCCTACTTGGGTGTCTTCTATAGCTGCTCCTCCCTCCCTTCCTATATATGAGGACGGAGGCGCCTAGCACATAACAGACAATTGCCTAGCCGTGTGTGGTGCCCCCTCCAACATTTACACCCTTGGTCATATCTTTGTAGTGCTTAGGCGAAGCCCTGCGATGAGCACTTCATCATCACCGTCACCACACCGTCGTGCTGACGGAACTCATCTACTACCTCGATATCTTGCTGGATCAAGAAGACGGGGGGACGTTACCGAGCTGAATGTGTGCAGAACTCGAAGGTGTCGTGCGTTCGGTACTTGAACGGTCGAAGCTAGAAGAAGTTTGACTACATCAACCGCGTTGTCAAACGCTTCCGCTTAAGGTCTACGAGGGTATGTAGACACATTTTCCCCCTCGTTATTATGCATCTTTATGATAAATCATTGCGTGTGCGTAACATTTTTTTATTTTTCACGGAACGTTTTCAACATGAACGTACGGTCGGTTGCGAATTAATGCTCCCAGAAAGCGACGAGCTAGCCGCAGACATGTTTGGCTTGGAACCGAAGAGGAGGGCCATGATCGATCCGGTGAGCTCGCGTGCGCGACAGCCGAACCCGAACGTGGTCATTCCTTTTTGAAGTAAAAACGTGGCCATTCTTGCCGCGTGAGCTTTTGCCGTGCTCACAGAAGTCAGTCGTGCGCACTCTTACTTTATTGTGCTGTATACTATGTACTCCAAAGTGTTCAGACTCGACTCGCTCAATTTCTTACACCATCTACGATCGAACTTCTCAAATTAACTGAACAGATGCCGTACCACTGATCACACAAAAGAAAGAAGAAGAAAATTGACTCAGGGCATCTTCAATGCAAGACACCTATATGGGCGCTTAGGAAAATAAAAAAAATCTTGAAAAATTAAAAGCCCATCTAAGCGCTGTTTGTTACAACGCTGAGCGCTAATTAAGGGGGCGCTAAGGAAATCCGCCGCTACACGCAGCCTTCTATCTCGTACGAGAAAATAGCTCAAGCGCTCGGTTCCTTTTTCTAGCATCGATGCCGTAGGTAGCGCCAGGATTGGAAGGCCCAACTGCCCCATCGACCAGGAATTCGATCCTGGCACATATGCTAGCGCCTAGCGTTGTAGATGCCCTTAACCGGACTTCTTAAAGCCTCCTTAAATGCCAGGCTATTTAGCAATCCTCATATTGGCCTTATATATGGGATAAGTATGATTCAGGGTCACTACATGTAGAAACAAAAATAGCCCTGGTTTACGACCTCTTGGCAAAAACGTCGCCCGGGTCACACGCGAGTGCGGCTTCGGAGGCCCCCGAAACCCTAGACCAGCAAGGTCCCAGATCTCCTCCTCCGACCGCTGCCCCCGCCGGCGCCGATGGTGGCGGCCGCGCCTGGACGACGAGCCCCTCCCCTCCATCCTCGACAGGTCCTTTCACAGGGAGTGGAATGTCTTCGGGGTTGCCATGGTGGCAGGGTGGCCGGCAGCGGGATTCGCGGTGGCAGTTGCCGGCGCACGGCGGGGAGCGCGGTGGAGAGGCGGACCCAGTCCAGGTGCGCAGCAAAGTGGTCGAAGAGGGTGGGTCGCCGGTGCAGATGGGGTGACGGCGTGAGCTCAAGGCCATGGTGGCGGCAACGTTGAGAGGCCTCACCAGGAAGGAGTCCAGGATGGGCAGCGGCTGGCCGGCCGCCTACGTGTGTTGGGCGTGTTGTGGTGCTCTCAGAGGTGGCGGCGCCGAAGTGGTCGAAGGAGGTGCATGCGGGTCAGATTTGAATCCCGCCATATTCGATATGGGCCTTAGGGCTGATTTTGTTGTGCGGCAGTCCCCTGGTGCGGGTGAAGGCCGTCGTGGCGGGGTTGGCTCTTGCACGACGTGGTTGGCTGTTGTGGCTTCTTGTCTGGGTGGATGGGCTTTTGTGGGTCGCGTTCTTTTCGACAGTGCGAGTGAGGGAAGACCATAGATGCAGGGCTTCGACGACAAGTTGTTGCGGCGATGCAAGGCTTCATGGACGGTACTGCCTAAACCTTGGAGGCGTGGAGATGCGTGCCATTACGGATGAAAATCATGTCATGTTGTGGCTAGGCTGGCGGCGATGGCACCCGTGGGTGTCGTTCCCCTCTTTGGAGGTGTTGCCGAGTGTGTCGCCATCTCCCTCTCTTGCTTGGTGTTGGCAATTGTCTTCGAGCGAAAGCCTTGATTCGGTGCTGGATCAACACGATGGCGTCGTCCTCAACGTCGTCCCTCTGTTTGGGAGCACTGTGTCGGGGCACATGGTCTGGATGTCCTATGTTGCGCTCCTTCGGTGTTCGCCGCTACCCATGATCATTCTTCTCCTGCGCAATGTACAGTCGTCGCTGGTGATTCCAAGACGGCGCCTTTCTCGGGTTAGATCGAGTCCTGCCATCCTCTTTCACCTCCTTTCGATATTAAGAGGAGATGGTGCATCGACAAGGGATGTTTGGTGGAAGTTGCTGCTCTCCGGTGGTGACCAACGTCCGTCAAGATGCGGCAAGGTTTTCGGTTTTAGGCAAGCTTTTTTGCTTTGTAGTTACGTTGTTGTAGGTGGCTGTCTTTGAACTAGCTGGATGTGGAGTGATGCTATGCTCGTTGTTCATAGCGAGTGGTGATCATCTTGTATTTATAATTTTCTTTTTTATAAAGTTATGATACACAATTTGTGTACTCTCGAAAATATAATATAAACATGAGTAGTGACCAAACGTGTCGTCACATAGGATTTAAACCACCACGAAGCATTTTTTTCGTTGTTTATTATTTTTTCTTTCTCTCCGCTTCTCGGTCAATCACATATTTTTTTTCTTTCTCTCTGCTTCTCCGTCAATCACATATGGCCAGATGTAAAAATAAATAAAGAACATGACATCTTTGTTTATTATTTCCTTAAAGTTAGTGTAAAATTGAGCCACTTATTTTACAACAGAGAGAGTATTTCTTTTCTTTCTCTCTGCTTCTCCGTCAATCACATATGACCAGATGTATAGAGAAAAGAGTGAAGAACATGACACATTTGATCAAAAGTGAGAAACATGACACATGTGACCGGACGCATACGGAGAAAAATGAGGAACATGGCTGCGGTGTCCGGATGTGTAGGGGAAAAAATCACATATGACCAGATGTATAGAAAAAAAGTGAAGAACATGACACATTTGATCAAAAGTGAGGAACATGACACATGTGACCGGATGTATAGGGAGAAAAATAAGGAACATGACTGCGGTGTCCGGATGTGTAGGAAAAAATATAAGGAGGAACATGACTGCAGTGTCCGGATGTGTAGGGAAAAAAAGGAGAAACATGACTACGTGAATGGACAAATAGGGAGTTGCAACGGATGCGCCCGGACCGTGGACACCGAGGAGGCCAAATTCGCCGATTCCGGCTGTAGATGCCCTTATGACTTTATCCATCTTTTTATTTTATAGAAAAATTAGGACGACCAACCACATGACAGGATGCTGACATAGTCCGTGGATATGTTCGGACAATCGACTAATGCGTGTAGCTCGTATCTTGCACATTAGCAGTCATCCAAACCTAAAAGCAAAGAACGAACCAAGAATCTCCTCTGAAGGATCGACTTGCACGAGGCTTTATATTATGAGCAACCAGTGGGAACTGACAATTCTGTCACAAGAAAGGCGCCGTGTGATCATCAACACTTGCCAGTACCAACATCATGGCCTAACAACTCGGACAAACTCCAGCTTCGTACTAGTGATCGTGCAATGATCAAACAGGCCGCAAGCGTCGCCGAGTTGCCGTGATATTACAAGCCACTTATTCTCCACACGAAAGTGTTATAGGACTCTCAGATGGAGGCCAGGATATCCGGCTTTCGTCTTGTACTTCTCAAACAGTTCTTGCAATGCGCCGACGAATTGCCCGTGCACTTCGTTTATCTGTCGACAATGAGGAAACTTGTTTTTAGACGGCTGAAAACAATATACTGCTACTGTTATAGTGCAGGGGAACATGCAGAGATGAACTGTAAGATTAGTCCTACAAGTAATCAACTTATTTTCCTCTTCTAGCTTTTCACTAGATTGACAAAATTGTTCCTGGCAGCAGTTGCGTGATTATGAGTTTTCACCTCATCAATGGTAGGCAGAGGATTTTTCTTCAGCTCAATGGGTCTACCAACAACCACATGCATAGGTGACGAGAAGGCGATCGGTGTCCTGCATTCAGATGTGCCGGTAGATGATGAAAAGCCATCCAAACCGATATCGCAAATTCAACAATAATTATATCAACACGCAGGGAGTTACCCGTATCTTCCCCAGAAGATGATGGGAGTAAATTTAAGTGCTCTAGCAATGTTCACAAACAATTTGCCTCCTGGCCTCCACCACCTGTAAGCTTTGCTCTGACCAGATGATAACAACAGATAATCAACATCGGTAATTCTTCAGGAATGTATTCAAGATAAAAAACGAAGAATACAGTGGACTTTGCAGGGACATGACCCTAAGCATATTCGGTAGCTTCCTTGTGTTTTCAAGTTTGGGAAACTGAATTTTCTTCAAGTTTACTTTCAACATTTTACAGTTAAAGTAACCAAATGTTGCTTTTTACCTGTCCGAAGCAGAAAACAGGGACTAAAGGGCAGCCAGCCTGCATAGCTATCTTGACAAACCCTTTTCTTGAATTAAGGAAAGCAACCTGCAAAACACGCAAGGGTTGGACAAACTTTACTTAGGAAGAGTGAGTAATAAGGTTATTTTAACTCAGAAAGTCAATGCTCCTCGTCAATGAATGACACGAGAAAGGATGCCATCGACGTGGCATAAGCACAAACCTCGGAATCATGATCCATATGAAGAATCTCCTGTATACCTCCAGGCACCACGACGCAACTGTAACCAGCTGCAAGGTAGGAGTAGAAATTCTTCCTGGTTGCAGCAATCAGTCCTATCCATGTCCATATCTGCCTCAGGAATGGGGTGTGGAACACCTAACACAAATGGACCATTGAACAGAGTAAGGAACACAGCCTACTAATCGATGGAATCAAATTAATCCGCGGCATTGTGCTGCAAGCAAATTCAGGGAGCTTACGTACCGCACTGCTCGCAAGGACTTTGAGCTTAGGCAGAGGCATGAACCCGACATGATTCGCCAGAGCCGCCACGCCGATCGGCAGCACAGAATGCGGTTCATAGCCAAACACTGCAAGCATAGCACACAAGTTAGCCAGGCACAGACTTTCTACCAAACAGATTTCTGTTTCTTTGCCCTTTTGATATCGTCAGCACCGAAACTGCCGTTGAATCGTCGGCTAAACACCGAATTAGCCCGGGAAATCCAGTGAAGAGCTAGATATGATGATCATTGCATCTGTATATGGAAACTGATTCTGAGGAAGCTCACCATAAGCCCTGCTGGAATCGAAGGCGTTGTAGTCCTCCACATGCAAGCTAATCGGGAAGTAGCCCATGGCATACTTGCAGATGAACCTGCAACCGCGAGCAGAACCATCGGTTGAACATCCAAGAAGGAATAAAACCGAGCAAATTGCAGCAATTAGGAGAGAAATGGACCTGCCGATTTTGCGGCCCAATTTGTCCTCGTCGTTGAGGGGGGTGAACATGAAGACGAGCTGCAACGCCACCACCCTGCATCATCAAGAAAGGAGTCAGCACTGACCCATGGAAGACAGGAGAAGAATAAGAAAGGAAAGAAAATGCTCTTTTGCCTCCTGCTATGCTAGAAAGAAAAGAGAATAAAGGAAAAGGGAAGGATTGGAAAGGGACGGGACGCACAGGGCGGCGAGGCGGAGCGGGAAGAGGAAGAGCGAGGCGAGGATGAGGAGGACGTTGAAGTGGATTCCCCCGAGCCACAGCGCCAGCGCCGCGATCGTCCGCGGCAGCGAGTAGTTGGTGCCCCGGAACACCGTCGCCCCGCCCTCCTCCTCCTCCTCCCCGTCGGCCCGCGGCCTCTCCTCCTCCCCGTCGGCCCGCGGCCTCTCCTCCTCCCCCTCCAGCGCGCCATTCGCGCCCATGTCGCGGAGCCGGGGCGGACCGGGGGAAGAAGAGGAAGAAGTTCCCGGTCGGTCTCCGCCGCTTCCCGGGAGTTTCTTTTCTTCCTTGCTCACGCACGCTCCGCGGAGGCGGGCGGATCCGTCCGGCAAAGGTGCTGCTGCTGCCGCCGCCTACGCGTGCGTGTTTGGTGCGGTGGCGCCTCGGCCGTCGGATGTGCGGCGCGGTGCCTCGGATGGCGCACCGCGCCGCGTCTTATAAAGCCGATATCCCCGTCTCGTCGCGGTACGGGTGTCGTGTGCGCGCCGCATGCGCTCGACGTGGCGGCCCGCGCCCAGCCGCGCGGCGCGTTTCTTCGCCCCCGCGCGACGTCACGGGTTCCTTCGCCCCGTCCGTCCGGTCGTGCGTGCCGCTGCTCTCTCTGAACGAACGGCGGGGCTGCCCGCCAGATGCCACCGCTCCCTCGCTGCTCCTGCTTGTGTCCAGTCCGGTCCTGCCGAGCGCGCCGGACGTCCGGTCGTGTGTGCCGCCGCTGTCTCTGGACCCACCTCTCTCTGACTTGCGGGCTGAATCGGGGTGCACGAAAGCGGGTTGGAACGGGAGGAATTTCGGAGGAGCAAAAACCGTAAAGCTGTACACGCACAAAACGTTCTACTCCCCTTCACGCAACATCTTTTGGAATTCAACACCAATTTGGGAGGTACGATTACTTTCTTTTTGAAACCAGGGAGATATGATTCCAAGTTTCCAACGTGCGCGGTCGTAGGATTGAAGCACAAGAATGCCGTAAAGAATAATTTGCCGTGAAGATCAATAGATTGAAAGTTTTTCTGCAAAAAAAAAGAAGAAAAAAAATTTGTCGACTCGAGGCGTTCAGAAACAGTCTCTATATAAATAAATATAAAGGCCAAGAAAATAACCGCACTGTTCCCGTGTTCGATTTTTTTTATCAACTCGCCAAGGCGCCAAGCTGCCAGCGGTGGAGAGGATAACACGAGGTGGTGTGGAGTGGGTTTTCTGGACCTAGGGACACCTAAAGACGCATATACGTGATTCGGAGTCTGGATCTCGAGGTAGTGACGGCTTTTTGAGTCTTGTGGCGGTATGGGACGTCTCTTTCATTAACAGATCGGGTTCGATGCGGCTCGATAGGTGACACATGTGCCTCTTTCGGAGTTGTCGCGCGGTGCTTGTCGCCGGCAGATGATGCCACCGGTGGATGCGCTACCGGCGGATGCTACGCACGGCGTCTTATATGGACACGTCAATTCATGCCTGCTAGCGGCAGGTGATGCACGGTGGCTCTGGCGGAGGTGTTATGTTTAGCCTGATGCTGTCGGAGGTGGCAACAGTAGCGGGAGGTAGGCGATATGGGACGTCTTTGTCTTTCGTTGTCTCCTCCAGAGGTATCCGCCTATCGAGGTGTCGGTAGACGGATAAGGTCGGATGGTACATACGGCTTCAGCGATGAGTTTATGCACTCCGGTGAAAACAAAAGATCTCTGATCATACTAAGTCATCGCGCGTTGTGTCGTGTCCTTACTGAAGGTGGTGGACTAAAACTTGGTTTCGGGGATGAGAATCCGAAGTTCAACCTTGTGATGGACTCGCCATCATCGGTGCATGTGCGACGATTTCTTCTTGAAGACGTAGCCTAGGAGTTGTGTTTTTTCGTTTATGTTGTGTTTTGTATCATAAGGATTAGTGGCTATCTGAGGAGGTACTGTCGTGAGGTATACGGCCTCAAGGTTTATTTTCCGATTTATTTCCGGATCAATGGTGTTCAGCTACTGGATTTTGTACTTCTAAAAATATATGACTGCATGCATCGTCTTGATGTAGACGCCGGGATTATTCTTCTTTTAAAAAAAGAAAATATACAGCCAAAACATAGTCGTTGCATCCTTCATCGGTCAGTTTGTCAATTTTTGTACAGGCCGCATACATGCATATATTTTTGTACAGGCCGCATACAGCTAAAACATAGTCGTTTAATTTTCAAATTTTACATGCATATATTTTTTGTATCTATATATCCTCTAAGCGCGTTATTTATTTTAGTTTTCAAAATGCTTACATTAAAAAAAAAACATTGTCGGATTCTGATGGACCGGCGAGATAATCTGAGGTGCTGTTAGGTTCGATCGTTTCTTTCCAACCTGTTTTTGAAAAACTACTAGTGTGGACACACAATCTCAATCATATATATATCTGGCAAGGACCGATTGCATTAGCATATCGCAATCACAGCTTTGAAGAGTAGGATTAGTTATCACTCTTCTACAGTTCTTTGATGGTGCTTTGGCTGAGGTGTTAGGCGAGGTCGGCGTGGGCGTGTTTTACTTTAACAAGGACACAAATTTTGCCTCTTTTTATTAATTATAAGAAGAGAGTATAATAAGTACATGACCTCGATCATAGGCAAGGAAAAGAAAAGGATTACTCTTGGGATATGATGTCGACCGACCCTCGGCTTATGCTCTAATACATGATATGATGATCGGTGTCATTGTGAAATGATTGTGTAAGGCACGTGTATTTCTTCCGTTCCATATCTTCCGAAAGACTAGCATGGCAAGGGGGGTCATGACTACTCTGGCTTCTAAAGGATGAGCCAATCGCAGACCACTTCCTTTGATACTGCCAAGATGTCCAAAGCAATGTCTTTTTGGAGATGGTGAATGCCTTTTTTATTGTTTCACCATCTCCAAGATCGGGAGTGATTATAAGAGAGGAGGATGACTTGGTGCTTCTATTGTCTTGGAACCACATATAGCTGGAAGCGATGGAATTTGCATTAGTGTGGGTCCGGAGAGAAACTCTATTTGGGATCTGATAGCCCTTCCTATTTGCATGGGAGGGGGGGGGGGTATTTTGGAGGATCATCATGATTCATGATAATTGTGTAGCATATGAGCTTGCGCAACTTGCAAATCATAATAAGCATTTTGCAATGTGGTATTTACCTTCTCCATCACTTTGGAATCGTCACCTAAGGGAGGATTGTCTCATCAATGCCGACCGAATAAACAGGCCTCCTACAGGACTCAACCCAGCTTGACAGAGAAGGCGCACATTCTGATGTTACACCATATTGGAGAATTCAGAAGACCTTGACATTTAGTGGCGCGAAGACTCCACGCCACAACATGAACACCATTAGCGGCGGTAAAGTGGAAGCACATAGCTCGTCACGTAGGAAAGCAAGCTCGTTTTCAACTACAATGCTGGAGACAGGCTCGGCTAGGTCGACGCGCAAGACAATGTCATAAGAGTAGAGGGCGGCATAGAATGCCTGGCCCTGATCTAACTCAACTTGCCATTCTAGAATTTGACGGACTGACCGTTAGCCGACGCAACAATGTTTGATTTGACGGTGTTTGTCGCGAACTCTAATTTTTTGAAAGAATTGTTATAAAAGTTGAATGTAATAGCAGTTATGCTTTAAGGACATGTCTACATAAAAATTTAAATATTAGTGACCGGTATATACCAGTGACGGAGGCAAAAGACATTTTTTTTGGTGGGAGGAGGCAAAGGACTAGCAATAGCCGGGGCTCCCCCATGATCCCGTATATGTGTATATATGTGCTTGTTTTGCTTTTACATGTCGAATTTTCAGAAAAATACAGGTATTCGTATATAATTTGGACCATGCTATCAAAAGCTTGACTCATTTGCTCCGCCTTATCCTTTTCTTTTTGCGAAAATGATTCAGATTCATTATTAAAGTTCATCAGAAGTACAAAGCATCTCAAATATAATAAAAAATACATCAAGATTCCAAGACCAACGAACAAGCATTACTACCGCTAGAACGAGCCGCCGTTGCCGCTCCCCTATATTTGATTTGGTGGATGTATAATCGGTTTGGATGCACTCCATCCGAATTTATAACAAGACATGCAAAAGAAACTGGACCGGCCATTCTTTCTTATGCGGAAGAAATCAAGAAAGTGACAACGGAGAGCGAGTTGAGGGCAAGGCTTTGCCCCATAGACACTGCAACCACGAGTAATGCATAGAGCTGGCTTTTAAAGAAATTATCTAAGAACCTTGCACCTACTCACTTCACATGATCCGGGCAAACAGGTCCGGCAATGAACCCACTGAGTACATGAGGAACAAAGAGTAATATTTGAAGGACGCGTGATCTACAAAAGCAGATAAGGGTTCCCACATTTTATACGCATTGTGTCTTCGTATGAAAACAGGTTCACACCTCACCATCTTCTGGACGGTGACATATGTTTTGTATGTTTTCTATTTGTTTTCCATTTGTTCCTCAGGAATAGGATGTGTACAACTTATTCTTGTGATCTTATCTGATATCCGTTTGAACGGAGACACGAGGCCATTAGGCCGTTTGCTTTACGTTTCATCAGAGAGAATGGATAAAGTTTGAGTTGCAGATGAGAGAAAGAGAGAATGGCTACTACGCTGAGGTGGCTGCCACGTAGGACAAAATTGAGAAGGGGCTTTCGAGTGATTTTAAGAGCCGGGCTTTATGTTTTAAATGATTTTGCTTGGTCGTAACTTCAACTTCTTAACCAGGATTATTTCCAAAATAAACAAATAAATAAACTTCTTCGCCACGAATCGAGTGGAGTAATACAAATACGTTGACCAAAGTTTGTTCCTTTTGAAAGGTTGCTACAAGTAAACATGGGATGTGGCACTTTTAAACTGTCTTCCTCACGGTATTTTCCGGTTGCACACTGCTCTCCCTACGAGCATCTAAGAGCAACTCTACCAGACCCCGCATTTTGCCGACCTGTAAAATATGTTTGCAGGTCGCACGGGAGCGGTTATACAGGCCGAAATTTACGGCGGCAGACTAGAAACCGCAAACAAACTTCTAAATTTAAAAAATGTTGTTTCGTACGAGAAATTTAAACAACAGCTCACCGAAGCTCGCTCGCATAGATGGTTCTTCTTCGCATATAAGTTCATACAAGCCACATACATACATAAAGGTTAGATATGGTAGACAATGCCTACGCTACCGCACCACTGCAATAAA